TCTAGTTCGAAACGTCTCCAGTTTTCAGCTACGTTTCCTTGAAAGGAAATCGGATCCAGTCTACGTATCCCATAGTCGGCCATGTTTCGTTGCTATTGATGGGCCTAGCTGTACCCAAGCAGCAATAATGTATACCATCGTACTTTACTGTACAAATGTACCTTCAATATGTGAATCCACTAAAAGTTCTGACACCATGTAAGTTAATGACCAGCCTGAGGCACTTCGTAGATTACTAGGATTGTTTATTGAGGTACTTACCGACATACATGTATGAGATGGGTAACGCATCGAGAGAGCGTGCTTCAAACTAATACAATGTTCTACAGCATCCATTAATGCCGAATGTTGGCTATAATATGTAACCGGCAAGCGAGACATGTCTTCATTTTTATAGCATCTTGGTCGCTTCGATTTGTGGATGAATAAGAGAGGCAATTTGCACGTCCCTGAGGCATTGGCACAGCCCATGATGTTACCCTGTCCTTTGATTTTTTAAAGTTTTTTCGTTTCGTAAAACCAACGAACGATTAGGCATTAGCCGCCACCAAAGACCTGTCTCATCGCCGTTAAAAACTTGATCTCTTGTCAACTGATTTTCCTCAATGATGCCTTCAAGTTTGGATTTGAACGGGTCAATCGAGTTAACATCAGCTGATTGTGATTCCCCTTGAAGTGTCGTCCATCGAATTCCATGTCGGGCTTTGAAATTATCTAACCATCCACAGCTAGCCAGAAAGTTTTGGCCAGGGTAAAATTGTTCGGCAAAGAAGAAAGCCTTCTCACTTAACAACGGTCCCTTAACAAACACTCCCTTAGACCTCTGCTGCTCCATCCAAGTGTACATAGCCGCGTCTACTTTATCGAAGATTGGTGTTTTAACATACGAAAATTTTCTTGCTTTAGCAGGGTTTTCGTTTGCTGAAATGTGTCTTTGTATTTTCTCTCTGTTTTTCCATATGGTCGCTACCGTAGACTTCGAAAGTCCAAAACGTTTTCCAATCGCTTAATTGGACTTGTGGTTCTCATAGGCTTTTATTAGGCTCAGTTTCGTATCAATGGAAATACACGGTCTTGGTTTTTTCGAGGCAGAAGCCATTGTTGAAATGTACATTGCATTTCATTTAATTATGTTTCAATCAATTAATTAAACAATCAGGTCTATGCTCCTCCCATGCTCCCTCCCTACCAATGAAAAGGTGTCATTTAAAATAATACGTACAAATGATTCATTTAAATTGCATATATTTCCTGTCATTTCTTATCTAAACCCCATTCATTGTTTACAAAGTTCATAAGCGTATACCAATTCATTCCCAGACGCGCGTCCTGTAAAGTTTGTCAACCACAGCTATGCGCTCCTTTGATGTTAACCGACTGTTGCTATTAACGATGACAGCGGTCTAATGTCGTCTCTGTAAGACGGTCTAATTTTAGATCGGCAAGTTCGTAATTGGGAAGGTCAACTGCAGTCGACCTTCTCAATTACGTACCCTTTGGTCTAGAAGGCGTTCGTAATTGAAAAAATTCGTAATTGAGAAGTAGGAAAAAATAGCGCTCTCACCGTGCCTAACAAAAAAAAAATACATTTTGACTCAACTTTTAACAGTCACTTTTTGCACAAAAGTGCTTATCTCGCCGAGTGGAGCACTTAGTGCAAATGTTTGACTTTCCGCCATATTTGGAGTACTGTTAAGAAAAACATCAAACTTTCAATGGAATAGTGTTTGTTTCAGGCTATCTCACCGTGCCTAACAAAAAAAAAAATACATTTTGATTCAACTTTTTAACATTGTCACTTTTTGCACAAAAGTGCTTATCTCGCCGAGTTGAGCACTTAGTGCAAATTTATGACTTTCCGCCATATTTCATGTACTTTTCCGTAAAATTTCAAACTTTCAATGGAATACTGTTTGTTTCAGGCTATCTCACCGTTCCTAACAAAAAATAATTACATTTTGACTTAACTTTTTAACATTGTCACTTTTTGCACAAAAGTGCTTATCTCGCCGAGTTGAGCACTTAGTGCAAATTTTTGACATTCCGCTATATTTCGAGTACTTTTCCGAATAACTTCAAACTTTCAATGGAATAGTACTTGTTTCAGGCTATCTCATCGTGCCTTACAAAAAACATTACATTTTGATTCAACTTTTTAACATTGTCACTTTTTGCACAAAAGTGCTTATCTCGCCGAGTTGACCACTTAGTGCAAATTTTTGACTTTCCGCCATATTTCGAGCACTATTCCGAAAAACTTCAAACTTTCAATGGAATAGTGTTTGTTTCAGGCTATCTCACCGTGCCTTAAAAAAAAAATACATTTTGACTCAACTTTTTAACAGTCACTTTTTGCACAAAAGTGCTTATCTCGCCGAGTTGAGCACTTAGTGCAAATTTTTGACTTTCCGCCATATTTCGAGTACTATTAAGAAACACATCAAACTTTCAATGGAATAGTGTTTGTTGCAGGCTATCTCATCGTGCCTAACAAAAAAAAATTACATTTTGACTCAACTTTTTAACATAGTCACTTTTTGTACAAAAGTTCTTATCTCGCCGAGTTAAACACTTAGTTGAGTCATGTTACTCCCGAAATGACATAAGGTTCTTGTACTTTTAATTAAGTTAAAGATATCAATTACAATGTAATTATTGTCCTATTGCTTTAGCCACTGTTGTATCTCATATATTTAAACTTGTTTATAGAAGTACAGTATCAGGCAACTTTCCTCTGGTGATCAACGGTTTGCTATAGAATCAGGTAATTCCACAGATACATATGTATTTTTGTCTTTCAACAAATTGTTGATAATTATTTGCGAAATTGCAGCCTAGTGTACATGTTTTTCAGATGCTAGCATGGCATTTGATCGCAGAAATCATTTTACGCTAAATGACGAGCTTGATATTAAGCGTCAGTGCAGATCACTTTGTATAAGAGGATTCCTTGTCAAGAAAGTTTAGTAATTGTTCTGACAAAGTGTAATGTCTCCTTTTTAAATCATACCGTGTGAATATGTTCTGTCTTTCGTTATCATGCAAATTTTATGTATGGTTCTTTAAACTGCATTTAGTACTAAACTACCTAGACACTATAGTGCCACTTAGTAACTCTGTTCCTTCATTTTATGAGTATTTGCATAAATCTGTGTATAGCTTCATGAATAGAACTAACAATGGTGTTTACAGTATGGTATCTTTGTCAAAGTTAATACTCTGTTTAACTCCAAGATGAGTCTTACTTGGAATGAGTTGTTCAGGGGATAACTTTCTTAAATACAGTAATTATTGAAATCAATTTTAGTGCTAGGGTGCCGTGTTTTGGGCACGAGGGATGTGGAATTAGATTTTGATTGCTACCCCGGGATGTTTAGATTTTGTCTTTGTCTAGTTGATTTTGAATATTGTGTCTGTGTGCTATATCAGATTGTGTTTTTTTTTCTCTACTTTTTCTAGGTAAATTTTTTTGATAACCAACAACTGTATTATTCAATGGTTTCTTCAGCTAACTAAGGATTGCATTTATTTAATTGATGCTTTTGTTAATCATCAACTACCTTATTCAATTCATTAGCAAGTTCGCACGAGGCGCAAGCATCGCGCGAGGTGATGGCGCCGCACCTGCAAGAACGCATCATCGCCAAGTCGGGTTGCTTGACTGTCAGCCGGACTCCGGCACCGTCAAGGGCCAAGGTCGCCAACCTTCTCGAGTGGCAGTTGTAGCACGCAGGCTCCAGCGTGTTCTCGTCGATGTACATACTTTTTGTCGGAGGGCGGTTCTTGAGGTCGACGTACGTGAGAACTATGTAGCAGTATCTGCATATGACGATGGACTCGGAACCGCTTCCAGGTTCGTACGTCTGATCGTACGCGTACTGCACCTGGGCGCTAAGAGACAG